AATATTTCTTCTGGGGGAAAAACAAACTGAGCAGCTTCAGTAGGCTTACGACACCACCAAGCCAGCTGAAAAATGAGCAAACCAACAAGAAATGATGGTTTCATTGGTGTTAACCATCTGTTGAGTGAGGGTGGGTGACCCGACTTGGCTTCATCAGCATAGAGTATAAAGTAAATGGAAAATGTGTAACACATCTCATCCTTACCCAGGAGGAAAAGGAGAAGTGTTTTGTATTTGCTGCATAATCCGAATCTGTAACTAGCTGCCAAGAACCGTTGGGAGCCAGACTTCCCCAGAGTGTTGCCGAACAGTGGTTTGCAATTAGTAGAAGAGGGTACTGGGGATCCCCAAGTCCCTTTTAGGGGATCTGCAACCCCATCTTATATCATTTTTCTAGCCAAATATTTGTGTAAGTAAGATTTTTCTTATATCAATCAAAGGAACATATAAAGTCAGATAGAATAGAAACAGATGTGAGAATCCAGCTATTTTCTAGTAAGAATTGTAGAGTTTGCAAAATTATCTGACTTTCTCAACAATTGCTTATTGTTTTAGAGAACAAGCTTCTTTTTCAATAAGATTATGTTGTATTAACTAGTAATGATTTTGTTAAAGTGATTTAACCAAATTAATTTTCCCTCAGTTTTTCTGGTAAGGTGGTACAAACTTATTATAGTCCTTTGGGAAGAATCTGAGACAGGGGTGTCATGAGTTGGAGACTAGCTTGAGTTATATAGTGAGACCCTGTCATATAAACACAATCATTTTAATTTTCTTCCTTCCTTCTTTCTTTCATCCTTCCTCTCTCTTTCCCTCCTTTCTTCCCTTCTTCCCTCCCTCCCTCCTTCCCCCTTCATCCCTTCTTCTCTCCTTCCTCTCTCCCTTCCTTTCTTCTTCTCTTTTCTTTTTTTGAGATAGAGTCTCACTATGTTTCTCTGGCTATCCTGATCTCACTCTGTAGACCAAGCTAGATTCTGACTCACAGAGATCTGCTTGCTTCTGCCTCCCCAGTGCTGTGATTAAGGGCGTGTGCCACCACGCCTGCATCTTTTCCTTCTTTTTAAAGTTTTAATTCTTAATACACTAATTGTACATCATATGACATGTAATTGACAAAGACCTTATTTTTGTTTGCTGTTGTTTTTCTGTTTCTTGAGACAGGGTTTCTCTGTGTAGCCCTGGCTGTTCTAGAATTCAGTTTGATGACCAGTCTAGTCTTGAACTCACAGAAATCTACTCATGCCTTCTGAGTGCTGGGATTAAAGGTGTGTACCACCACTGGCAGTTTATATTTAAGTAGAGGGAGCCTTTGACTCCCATTGTGGGTGGAGCTGATGATTCACTGTGGGTGGAGCCTGTCTTAGGCACTATTAAAGGCCCAGACTTCAGTGAGTTGAGAAGTACAAGTTGTCAGACCCTAAGATTTTTGCTGGGAACTACCAACACTAGGTAAACACTAGCCATTTCTCTCTGGCTACAACTTTTGTTTATGTCTTTAGTATTCAGATGAGGGAAGAAGAGGTCATATACTGTCTGGGAAGTCTGGGTCTATCATCACCTTTAAATGTTTCACAAGATAACTTCAGGATGCTTTTCATAATGACATATACCTATGACTTTCTGTTTTCTTTTGAAACAAAGTCTGCTTTTTTATAAAAATGGTTTATTTATTTTTTAGTTTAATTTAAATTAGAAACAAGTTTGCTTCACATGCCAATCCCAGATCCCTCTCCCTCCCCTCCTCTCCTGCCCCTCTTCAACCTCCCCCAGCCCCGACTCCACTCTCCAAGGAGTGTGAGGCCCTTCATGGGGGATATCTAAAGTCTTTCATATGATCTGGGGCAGGGCCTAGCTCCTCCCCCAGGTGTTCAGGCGGAGACAGCATCCCTCCATGTGGGATGGGCTCTCAAAGTTCATCTGGATGACAGGGCTAAATGCTGATTTATTGCCCGAAGTCTCAAAGAATGCTGAGGCCTCCTCACTGACACCCACATTCAGGGGTTCTGGATCAGTCCCATGCTGGCCTCTCAGCGATCAGTCTGGGGTCTATGAGCTCCCCATTGTTCAGGTCAGCTGTTTCTGTGGGTTTCACCTGCCCTTTTTTTGACCCCTTTGCTCATCATTCCTCCCTCTCTGCAACTGGTTTCCAGGAATTCAGTTCAGTGTTTAGCTGTGGGTGTCTGCCTCTGTTTCCTTCAGCCACTGGATGAAGGCTCTAGGATGGCATACAAGAAAGTCATCAATCACGTTATCTGGGAAGGGCATTTAAGGCAGCCTCTTCACTATTGCTTATATTGCCAGTTGGTGTCATCCTTGTAGGCCTGTGGACATCTCACTACTGCCAGATCTCTCTTCAAACCTATAATGGCTCCTTCTATAATGGTATCTCTCATCCTTCTCTCCTCTATTCTTCCCCCAACCCAACTTTCCTGCTCCCCCATGTCCTCCTCTACCCTCCTCTTCACCCCCTCTCTTTCTTCCAGCTTCCTTACCCTTCCCCCTGTGCTCCCAATACCCTCAGAAGATTCTGTTCTGTTTCCCTTCTCTGGGTTACCATGCATATCTCTCTTAGGGTCCTCCCTGTTTTCCATACTCTCTGACTGTGGAATTGTAAGCTGGCACCCCCCTGTTTCATACCTAGAATTCGTATATGAGTGAGTACATACCATACTTGTCTTTTTGTGACTGGGTTACCTCACTCAAGATAGTTTCTTCTAGTGCCATCCTTTTGCCTGCAAATTTCAAGATTCCATTTTTTTTCCACTGAGTAGTACTCCATTGTGTAAAAGTACCACATTTTCTCTATCCACTCTTCAGTTTATGGGCATCTGGATTGCTTCCAGGTTTGGGTTATTATAAATAATGCTGCTATGAACATAGTGGAACACATATTTGTGGAGCACATTGTATGAATGTGCGTCTTTTGGGTATATGCTAAGAGTATAATTGCTGGATCTTTAGTTTGATGTTAGCTGTATATTGCTTTTATTATGTTCAGGTATATTCCTGTTATCCCTAATCTCCAGGGCCTTTATCATGAAAGAATGTTGAATTTTGTCACAGGCTTTTTCTGCATCAAGTGAGATGATGGTGTAGTTTTTCTTTTTCAGTTTGTTTATATGGTAAATTACATTGATAGATTTTCATATGTTAAACCATCCCTGCATCTCTGGGATGAAGTCTACTTGATCATGGTGGATGAGTTTTCTGATGTGTTCTTGGATTCAATTTGCTAATATTTTATTGAGTATTTTTCATCAATGTTCATGAGGGAGATTGGCCTGTAGTTCTCTTTCTTAGTTGTGTCTTTGTGTGGCTTGGGTATCAAGGTAATTGTAGCTTTGTACAAAGAGTTTGGTAACGAACCTCTTGCTTTTATGGTGTGGAACACTTTGAGGGATATTGGATTTAGCTCTTCTTTAAATTTCTGGTAGAATTCTGCACTGAAGTCATCTGGCCCTGGGCTTTTTTGGTTGGGAGACTTTTGATGACTGCTTCTATTTCATTAGGGGTTATAGGTCTGTTTAGACTACTTATCTGCTCTTGATTTAATTTTGGTATGTGTTATCTACCTAGAAAATTGTCCGTTTTTGAATTTTGTGGAAAACAGGTTTTCAAAGTATGACTTGAAGATTCTCCGGATTCCCTCAGTGCCCATTGTTATGTCCCCCTTTTCATTCCTGATTTTGTTGATTTGCATGTCCTCTCTCTGCCTTTTAGTTAGTTTGGATAGAGGTTCCTCTATCTTGCTGATTTTCTTGAAGAACCAACTCTTCGTTACATTGATTGTTTGTATTATTTTCTTTGTTTCGACCTTATTGATTTCAGCCCTCAATTTGATTATTTCCTGGTGTCTACTCCTCCTGCCTGAGTTTACTTCTTTTTGTTCTATAGCTTTCAGTTGTGCTGTTAATTCTCTAGCGTGACTATTCTCCAGTTTTTTCATATATGTACTTAGTGCTATGAATTTTCCTCTTAGTACTGCCTTCAAAGTGTCCCATAAGTTTGGGTATGTTGTGTCTTTATTTTCATTGAACTTTAGGAAGTCTTTAATTTCTTTCTTTGTTCCTTCCTTGGCCCAGGAATGGTGCAATTGCTCTGCCCTCTGCCCTGAGTTGGGGCGGGAGTAGGGAGTAGGCAGACTATCTCACCAGGCTCCTGGCCGCTTGGTCCTAGGAGGCAAGTCGAGCTTGCTCCAGTGCCCAGTCCAGGAGATCTCAGAGACAAAGTCTGCTTTTATACTTTTAAGTTAATGTGTATGTAGCTTTAGAATCATTGTTTTCAGATTATAAATATTATTTTAGATACTTTTTCTTTGCTTTTCACTTAGATTTATGAAACACCTTTAATATTTGTGGTATAATTATTGCTGGATTATTTCTGATCATTTGAGATGATAGATAACCTTGGAAAACAAACCTTTTAAAAATGCCAGTGATTTTGCTTTCTTTGGTAAAAATATTAAGTACATTTTGAGGTAGTTGACTTCTTGTGCCATCTCACTTACCCTGTGGTGGATTTTGCTGGTCTCATTCACATGTGATCATTTTCTCTGCAATTCTGAAGTTACTTGTCTGTTTGTGCTAAGTAGGTTAGGATTGAGTTTGGTTTTATGAATGGATTTAGATAAGGATTAAAAACAAAATAAAACTGCAAGTACCTGGGGGAAGAAATACTGACCAGGTTGGAGGGTGGAAAAACTTGTATTCCCATCTAGATCAATTAAAGATCCAGTAGGGTTCAAAACCCATAGGCAAAACTTTGGTTAGAGAAGAGAACTTCATCCAGAGGTTTTCAGAGAATGTAAACTGGCCTGCCTGGGGAGACATCAACTGCTTTATTTCCCTCTTGTAACTACCTGGATTTTGGATCATTTTAGATAGCTCTTTAAAATGTCACAGATGATAAACTTAGCTGTGATTCTCTAGAACTACATAAGCAAATACTTACAGTTTTAAATATTCCCATTGGGTTTAGATACATCCTGCCTGTCAGAGAACATGTTGTGTACTGAAGACTACCAGTTGCTTCCAGAAACTGAAAAGATGGTCATTATACCTGAAATATGGACTCCGCATGACAATTTGGAAGTGGAGGCAGTCTGTCCAATTTGCCTGGACTTTTACTCTAGTCCTGTTTATCTCTCCTGTGCACACATATTCTGCTGTGACTGCATTGAGAATTGGATGGCAAGAAAGGAAGATTTGATATTGACCTGTCCCATGTGTCGAGAAGAAAACAAGAGACCAATCATGCATGAATGGGTTATTAGAGAGCTGACCATTCTTATCAAGCAGCATGGTGCCCTCCTGAAGCAACATATGGAGCAAATCACTGGACTTCTGAGGTTGTGCACCGAGGCTGTGGCTCTGGAAGCTGACACTGGTGACTCCTCCTTGGTACTCTCTGATGGTTTAAGGCATGTCTGCTGTGAGAAGCCTGGTCATAGCTTGGCAGAAGATCCCCAAAAATTCATCCCTTTAACCAGTGTCCTGGACAGCTCTTCCATCTCTTCAGTCTGCCAAGAAGCTGATGTGGGGGAAAAGAAAGACTGGACTCCAGCTGTTTGCAAGGAGCCAGTGAACAGGAGGAACCCTGGTCATAACTTGGTGGAAGATCCCAGGAGACTCAACCCACTGGCCTGTGTCCTGGACAGCTCCCACATCTCTTCAGTCTGCCAAGAAGCTGATGTGGGGGAAAAGAAAGACTGGACTCCAGCTGTTTGCAAGGAGCCAGTGAACAGGAGGAACCCTGGTCATAACTTGGTGGAAGATCCCAGGAGACTCAAACCACTGGCCTGTGTCCTGGACAGCTCCCACATCTCTTCGGTCTGCCAAGAAGTTGATGTGGGGGAAAAGAAAGACTGGACTCCAGCTGTTTGCAAGGAGCCAGTGAACAGGAGGAACCCTGGTCATAACTTGGTGGAAGATCCCAGGCTACTCACCCTACTGTCGTGTGTCCTGGACAGCTCCCGCATTTCCTCAGTCAGGCATTGGGAAATTGATGAGTGGGATAGAGAAATGTAAAGAGTTCTCTTTGTATCTCATTGTGGACCCTTCAAGTCCATTCCTTTGTTCTGAACATCCTGTGGAAGGGGTGCCCCATTTGAGCATCTTCCTTTAGATAACTTGGCCATTATTATGTTGCACCATAGGAGGGTTGGAAGGACCAAGGAAAAGACAATGTGCCATTGCATAAGGCTTGGTAGAGTTTTGATGAACTCTACAGACTCCTTCAATCACTCAGGGTAATTAAGTTGTGGGCAAATAACTGTGTACTAAAAAAAGATTATAAAAGTTTTATGGGTATAAAGTGTCTGTGTTTACTAGTTTTTATGTCAACTTGATACAAATTGGAGTCATCTGAGGGGAGGGAACCTCAATTGAAATAAGATCAGGTTGTAGACAAGCCTGTGAAACATTTTACAAATTAGTGAAAAATGAGATGGCATCCAGTCCATTGTGGTTGGGGTCACACATAGGCTGATGGTCTTGGATTCTGTAAAAGCATGCTGAGTGAGCCATACAAAGCAAACCAGTAAACAGTGCTCTTCCATGCTTTCCTATTCCTGTCCATTTGACTTCCTGCCTGGCTTCCTTTGATGATGAGCTGTGATGGAAGCGTTACGTTTTATCAGGGTGTTTCATCTCAACAATAAAAACCCAACTAAGACACTGTTTTATTATTTCATGCTCATTTGTATAGAATTTCTAATGATAGTTGTTAGGGAGAAAAACAAAACAAAACAAGACATAAACCAACACAATAAACAGAGCCAATGGAAGATGCTTTGACGTGGTGTAAAATTTCACAATGAGACAAAACTGGGAATGTCTGTTTCACATTTTGATCCCTCCTCCCAGCTGCAGGAGAGTCCTTGAGAAACAAAGGACTTTGACTCAGTTCACTCTGTAATGATTCTTGTTTATTGTGATGGGAATTGTTCTTCATACACTTCATTTGCCAACTGCCAATTCATTGCCAATGGTACTGAATGTGTAATAGGCAGAAATGTGCCAGTATGTTCAATCAGAGAGTGGCACGTTAACAAAAATGGCAAAAGGTATGGAACATTCTGGAGTCTGATAAATATGCAAATGAGCATTGTATTTTTTGGTTGTAAGCCTAGCCTTTAACGTTTGAGCTATCCCTCCAGCCCGCAAATGAGCATTGTAAAATTGAGCTCTGTGACCTGAAATTCTCTTTAGAAACTCCATATAGACTCAAGGCCTTCATTAATTAGAACACTGTAATTATATTGCAACATGGAACATGGGATGGTGGAATGTTGCAAATCAAGAAACCAAAGCTCCATGGGTTTTCTCGTAGTCTCTTTGTTTGTTTGTTTCTCCAAACAGGTTTCTCTGTAACTGCTGCGGCCATCCTGGAACTCACTCTGTAGAGTAGGCTGGCCTGAAACTCATGGAGATCCACCTGCCTCTGCCTCCCAAGAGCTGGGATTAAAGGTCTGTGCTATCACTGCCCAATCATACCACCCCTCCATAGCCATGTAGCCCCTTTAATAGTAGTTTACTATCAATCTCCAGCTGGTCTAAGACTTTCTGTGGCTGCTCAATAAAAACAAATTCTGCCATCAAAACACAGAACAACAAACCCAAACCAACCCTCACCCCAGAATGTCCCAGACCTGTAACGTCTTCTGACTGAGATGAAACACTTCGGGTCCTTTCTACTTTGTTTTTCTGATTTCCACCACTTCTGAGGTGCCATTTGTTAAGCTGAGGCATGTTGCACAATTTACCCTTACTTCATTTCCAAAAAAGTCAGGGTTGTCATCCCCCTGGCCTTTCATCTTTACCAGGGTAGGAGGATAGCTTTCTCTTCCTTTTTGTTGTTTCCCCTTGTTCCTTTATAGTATCTGATTCTTTTTATGGGACCTTGTGTTATCTTTTAGTGGGTTTGGGTGGCTGTACTCTGAGCCACCTTAACAGGTCTTTATAATGTTCAAAAATTAATTTTTATTGCTGATGCATCACATTTTCTTTTATTATATTTCATTAAAATGCTAATATCACACCATAACATGCTTACATGACTCATCCATGGAGAAGACTTACAGTTTGAAAAACTATCGAACACCCTGGGCTTCCAGACTCCTGCTCCTGGGTATTAAAAGTCCCAGTTTCCTTGCTTTGTCCTTATTTCAAGGGACTTCGGGTTTCTTCCTTTTGGATGTTTATAAGTTCCAAACTTCCATTTTTCTCATCTGAGTGATTTTTCCCCCTTTTCTTGTACTGTGTATGGGGGAGGGTGGGGGCGGATGCCTGTAACTGTTGATTGGCCTAGTTCCTCTCTCCCATGTGACTGAATCATAGTGGTCCAGAGTGGTGGACCACACACTCTTTTTTGCTGTTGTCAGCTATTTAGCAAAAAATTTCATAGGCAACTTTTAACTTCTCACCTAATTCAAGCTGAGGAACCAGTGTAACAGCCACCAGGATCTTCTTGTTCTACACTTACCCTGCTGTAGTTCATGTCCAGCCAATTACTTCAAACAGCTCAGTGACACCCTAACCATAGGGCTGTTGATACCTTAACATCAGCAAGGACTTGGCAGGCTAGTTAGGATCCCAGCTCTCAGTTCCACTGTGCTTGACTTCTGCATTCTCCATACACTACTTTGATACAAGTAAGGCACATCCTGGTGGCACAAATCCAGTTTCCGTTGCTTTCAGCTCTGTGGTCTTGGATGAATTATCTAACTTTCCTATGTGGAAGTTCACTAATCAGTGAGGGGAATTAATAACAAGACTCACCTTTAATACTACAGTCAGCCCTCCAAATTTGGAGTCTTCACATCTGTAGATTCAACCATTATTTTTTTAATGGGTCTGTATTGAATGTGTACAGACTTTTTATCTTTGTCATTATTGTAAAAACAATACAGCAGCTGGGTGTGGTGGCACCATACCATTAATCCCAGCATTTCGTGGGGGCAGAGGGAGGTAGGTTTGTGCAAGTTCAGGTTCAGTCTAATCTACATAGTGAGCTCCAGATAACCCCAAAGCTACATAGCATTACAATCTCATAAAAACAAAACAAAACCTGTTAAGAGAAGCTTTTTCTTTGCTAGCCGCTTTGGTGTATCCCCCGCCAGTCGCCTGGGCTCTGCCGCGCCAGCCTGGTTCTAGATCCGCATGAGTCCCAAATAAACACACAGGAGGCTATATTAATTATGAAGCTGTTGGCCTTGTTCGTCTCTTACTGGCTAGCTCTGCCTTAAGTAATTACCCCATAATTGTTAATCTAAGTATGTTTCTTACCGGAGAATAGTTCCCGGCTTCCTACCCCCATGGCGTCACATGTCGACTCTCTTGTGTTTCCCCTTCCCAGAATCCTCCTCGACTCCTAGTCCCTCCTATCTAGGTTTTCTATTGGCCAGACAGTACTTTATTGACAAGTGCACAGGCAAATAACAGGACTTCCCCAACAAAAACCAATATGTCAAAACAAAAATAATCATAGTACTTATACTGAATTAGGTATTATATATTTTCTAGAGATGACTGGACACATTTGGGAGTATTGTGCAAGTTATATTTGCATATAACACCCCTTTATACAAGGAATTAAGTGTCTATAAACTTTGACATTAGCAAGAAGACCTGCAGTCAGTCACTTACAGATATTTGTAATTACTCTTTTGAGGATCAAATGAAATAATTCATATTAATTTTTAGCTTAGAGATTTGCCTAAAGCATGTGCTTACATTTTTTGGAAAGTTGTTAAACTCATCTGCTATTATTTTTGGTTCATTGTAAAGTTGTTGTTATAATTTACATACTCTTATTATGTTAGAAACATGATAGAAGAAAGTATATCGCTGTATTTCACCACCCCCTCCATTCATGTAAATTACTCTTTAGTTTTGTTTCTTCTCCATTGTGCTCCCTTCTATCCACCAACCAGCTTCTTCTAGCCCCACAACTGTTGTGGAGATGGATGTATACAGGGTGGATGTATACAGAGATGTGTTAATTGATTCTGAGAGTACAGGTGCAATCATTCTTAGAAAACAAAATTCTGCTCCACAAAACAATAGTGTGCTGATTGCTGTGATTCACCTATGCTCAGACATAGGTTTAAGCCAATAGAAAGTCTTTATTAGCTATCAACTACACTGGGTGTTCGGGATCTCAGTGTAGCCTTAAGTCTTTCTCAGGATGAGCTTTTAACCACAAAACCTCTGCTCCAGGTTGACATACTTCAGTTAATGAGAACAGTAAGCTAGAAGTGGAAGTACAGAAGCCAAAAAGCTAGGTTAGTACATCCAGAGACTTTCCTACAACCATGCATTTTGATGCATTAGGTCTTTGTTTCAGTTCTGGCAGGTGGTGCTGTCTATGTGCTGAGTTTTACAGGCTGAATGGTACTTCCATCATGAAGTCAGTTGTGCTAAGTTTTTGGGGCCTGCTAAGGCTTGGGGCCCTGTTACAGGACAAACTGAAATTCTAAATACAATTTTTGTGATAGGATTATAACATTTATGAATGCATTTCACCCTCTCTTTGACTATCCACCTCACATTTCTAACCCTCAGCCCGTCTTTTTCCCATTTGGGTGATGCTAATGAAATATCACCTCATGTCAAACTCTGATCCTATCATTCTCTCTAGTCCTTTATGGTATGTGATGAATCAAACTACAGGATGAACTCATCCTCTTCCTCCTGGATCAGGAAAGGGATGTCTGGAGAGACAAAGACTTGAACCAGAACCTCTATAGATTTGGGGAAAGAAACCAGTTGGGCATCATCTATGGGCTGTAGTTGAACTGAATGGTTTCATTTGGCCTTAAAGACAAAGACAACTTAAGCAGGAGAGAGCAATGGTGTTTAATCCTGGATTTGAATTGGAATCATCTGAAAGAATTTAAGAAACTATCCCACGTCAAGAACAAAACAAAACAACAAACAAACAAAACAACAACAACAACAACAAAAAACAGAAGACAAAACCAAAAACCCAAAAAAACCCACACCCCAAACCCATCAAATGAGATGGG